GATGGCAGCAGTACGTGCAGCTGAATATGCAGGCATAATGGGGTTCCAAGGAGTTATAGTGGAACGAGATGCACGTTGCTCAGATGACACAGGCCCAAGGAATTTGTTTGCAGAAAGAAATCTGGTGATGGATGCAAGGATAAAGCTAGCCCGTGTAGGAGAATGGTCTTGCACTCATACTTACCGTCAAGCAAATGGAGCTGCTTACAGATTGGCAAAAATGGAAGTAGAAATGATAGGGTCCATGATCTGGAACGGTGGATATCCCAAAGCTATCAAAGACAATGTATTACAAAAAATGTCCTCTTTAAATTAATGAAATCATCTTCTTTTCGAAAATAAAATAAAATCTTTATTAATTACAGAAAGAGATATTTCGTTAAACTAATACTAATATGTAGTTTATTTGGGTAACTTATTTGACATCATGTTGTTGGATTTATTGATTTGTTGGAAGTTTGATTTCTAAATTTATTTCAAATGTATACAGTACTAAACATCAACATCATTAGAAGATTCTTTGTAGTAGTTCAGATAACTGTTATTAGCCAAACAAAACCACCTCAAAGGATAAATTAATAGGGTCCGAAATTGATAGGTTGGGGCCATCTATATAGAAGACATTTAAAACGCTGGATTTAGTTTTCATGTCCCAAAAAAATTGGATAATTAAAATACTGTTTTAAAAAATTATATTTAGCGTATTGTTTTCATTAAATTTAATAAAAATTATATTAATGAAAAAATATATAGAAAAGATGATAATTAGGCTTAGAATTATTATAACTTTATTTGGTATAAAAAATAAAATCTAGCAGTAGCTGATGAAATCTAGTAATTAGAATCAATGGAGCAGGGACAATTCAATAGGCTCGATATTCAAAAAATTTTCTTGATTAGAGTTTCTGGATTGGACCTACTTGGTTCTAGACATCGGAGAAGACAGCACTCACTGCCAGGATATTCAATTGCTTAAATGCCAACAGCATTGAAATCCCCACGAAGAAGTTAAAGGGTGGAGTTCATCATTTCAATGCCAGCACCTAGAAGTTGTTCTTTCAACCTTCAAGTCTATTTCTAAACCTTTCCCATACTACTTGTGAGTTATTGGATAGCCCCAAAGTACTCTCATGATTAATTCCCTCCCCTTTTTAAGAAGGCTAGAGCTGCAAGTCTTTGCATAAATAAGACTGACACACTGTGGTTTCATAAAAACTGATCGACTATCCATAAACAATTGACTTACGCGCAGATAATTTGTTGGCCAGGGGAAAAGTTATTGGCTTTTTGCTCGATGGCCGCCTCGCTGGTGTAGTGGTGGTATATTATTTACGTTTTGAAGATAATGGAATTAATTATAGAATCCATGAGAAATTTTCATGGACGTCACAAGATCGCGTTGACTCTGGAATTGACTGTCTTTTGGTCTATGGCTTTGCACCACATTTTGTACGAGGTAAAGACAGCTACGGCTGTCTATTTGTGTTCCATCTTTATCTTGGTGGGAATAATTTTCTTGTGCACGTACTATGGACATCACTTGTGAAACGCAACACACAAAAGCAAAGGCTTGCACCGGTATCAAGTGAAAACAAGGGCTGCCGTCCATACGAAATAATAAAACTCCATCATTCAAGGGTAACAATTAGAGGGTTTATGGTCGGGTCAGGATTTTTTCCAAATTCTATTAATTGATTATACAATTGTTGATAACTAGTTTAGGGGAAATCATCAGATATATTAATAATAATTTTTTTTTATTTTACAAATAAAATTAAAATGATAACACATATTTTTTATATATTTAAAAAAATTAACTTAAAAAAAATACATATGTTATTATAGAATCTTATTTGTAAAGTTATTCTATTATCATTATATCAAATACTTTTTTTATTTTTTTATTTTTTCTTTTTGCAATAGAAAAATAAAAAGTAAAAACAAAAAAAAAAGATAAATAGTACCAATTACCCAAAGGAAAAAATGTTTCTTTTTTTCTCCCTTGCATAATGCTTGGTAATTGATAAATTTGTACAATGAAAAGAAAAACATTATATTCCTTTTTATCATTATGCTTTTATTTATTTTAAATAACATGTATGGAAGCTTGTAAGTGTGCGTAAAAGAATTAAAAGGTTGTCCTAAATCTATTTTTGTGTGTCAGATTCAGATAAATTCATGATATTTATTTGTTTGTCTCTCATGATAATTATTCTTTTCTGTACGTAAAAATGGAATACAGCTATACAGGTATAGTGTTTTTACCATTTAAAAAAGCCGGGCTTGATAACAAAGCCCAAAATATTCACCCAAGAATGGACCTTTCATTTGCAGAAATGGTGCCAAGTGCCGACCACCCAGGTCGTTCAAACTCGAACCAGGCCCAATGGTTAAACGACTTGAGAACAATGGAATTGAGTTAATGGACTGTATGATATAGAAGAGCAAGAAATGTGAATCAGTTTTGGGCTTTTGGCAAAAACGGAGGACATGATTGCGATTATATGATTTAACTGCCTAAGACACTGCTTACAAGAGAGAAATAGTGGAGAAGAACGAACCTACCAAAAAAAAAAAAAAAAACTCTCAGACGTCCACTGACTGAACCTGGTCTGAACTAAAATGATGAAAACGTTTGTAACCCTATTTCAGGTCACATGTTTTAGTTCTTCTGGCATGAGAGTAAATTAAAACTGCAACCTGCAAATAAGTATTCAAGAAGTGACTGTCTTTGGTTCCAAGTTTTTACACATAAATGCTTTCAGAAGTAGCCATAGATGGAAAGAATGGATATTCCATTATTCATCAACTTTCCATTCTGTGAGAAAACCAGCAACAATTTGGAAGTTGCAAGCATTTAGTATTACAATATTTATTCCTTCGGGTGACTGGTGGAGGCTGCAGGAAAAGGAACATTTGGTAACTTATATTTCATTCAGTCACATTTTAATTTCATTTTTGCTATGATTTCCTAAGAATTCCAACCATTCAAATTAATGAAATTACTTTGCAGGATCCAGAGGATAAAACGTGCTTATTAGAACTTAGAAGATGGTTTGGCAAGTCCAATTTCCATTTTTGGTATTGTTTGAACAATGGGGATGCTTGACCAGATGAACATTTCAAATACTAATACTCATCATTTTTTTATAGGTTAGTTTTTGTGGGAAAGACATTAAAGTCAATTTAACATTAACTTTGTGTTAATTATACATTTCATTTGAATTATAAAACTCCTATAACAATGAATAGGTAACATAGTGATGATATTACACCCTTCAATCACAAAATCTCATTTTTGTCATTCACCCTTTTATTGATTTTTAACTATAAAATACATAATAATTACTTGGCAAGCGAAAGCTAAATACTTGTGTGGCTGTGAACTTGTGAAAATGACAGGGAAAGAACATAATATATCATAGATTACTTCAATAAAGTCCCATGTAATGTAACTTTATTTCAACCAAAAAGTGATCATGAAGTTTCTCTAAATGAATTATGACTCGGATGCCATTTTTAGTTCTTTTTTTTTTGGGGGCCCGTCACATTCACTGGTGCATTTTCTGCCCATGGATTCTGGTACCGCACACCTGCTTTTTGAAAAATGTTTAAGCAGGCAATTACGATTTAAGCGGGCCATGTGTCGGGCGGTAATTCACTGATATCCCTAACTACTGTATTTTCCATGCAACATCAATGTTCCTATTCATAAACTTTTTACATGGATTTTAGTTTTTTTAATTAACTTATGACCTCATTCCTTGCACAATAAAAGGAAAGATGGCGGCAAATTAAACCTGGAAAGCTCTTACGTGTTTGAATGCGTCACTGCCCTTTTTCATACGGTCAAACTAAGGTCTCAGGTTCTCATCAGCAGGTCCTAACAGTGTAGACGTCACTGTTATAAGCTGCACCGATTAGTATATATAGGGATCGGCATGGACCTTTTTTTTTCATCAAACAGACAACACAAAATTTCTCAACCAACAAACAAGTTTTAGCTCTGCCAGCTAGATTAACAAACCAAGCCTTCCCAACCGAGCTAATCACAAATCCTAATGGCCGGAAACGTCAAGTCTTTCTGCTTTGTCCTTGTTCTTCTTCTAACTTCATCGCTTTTCACTTCTGGGACTCGTCCTCTCACCGATGTTGCAGAGTCAGGCAGCTCTATAGCCAAAGGGATCAAGGCTTTCTTGGATGGTTCGAGCCTTCAAGGAATCAAGAGCGGAAGTCCAAGTCAAGGAGGAGAAGGTCATGCATTTAGTAATGCTGTCACGAACTCGGGTCCAAGTCCTGGAGGAAAAGGTCATGCATTTACTAATGCTTTCATGAACTCAGGTCCAAGCTCCGGCGGTGGTGGACATTAAGCTAGCGGCAGATGCAAAGCCTGCAACAGCGCTCTCTGATGTGTCTTAGGCGTCTCTATTTGTCTAATTCATTTTTTATTTTGTTCATTTTGGATTTTGGTCATTCTATTGTAATGTTTCAATAAGTTTAGGCGTGGTTTCTGGCAATTAATAGTCTAGTCCATAGCGAGTTTGCATTCTGCCATATCTAGTTTTTGTGATTCTGAGTCATGTATGACAGTTTTGTTTTGATCTGATAGCTATTCTTCCTTCAAATATTATTAAGTTCATGGTATAAACATTTTCTTTGTTACTTGTTCAACTCTGTTTTCTCGCATTTTGAGAGAGAAACAGAGACATTTTGCAGTGTATCATATCTTTCAAAAAAATTAGACTTAATTTTATTTGATTAAATGAAAAAATAATTCTTTAAAAAATAATATTACTACTACTTTAAATGTAAAAAAGAAAAGAAAAAACTAAAATATTAGCAGTAGCATAGCATTTAACAATTACACGTGGATGGCCGGTTGGGGTTTTTTGGTTTAATGATTAAAGCCCAATGGGCTTTACAGTAAAAAGAAGCCCACATTTGGGCCTAAAAGCCCAGAGTTCACAGTCAAAAGAAACCCTAGAAAATTCCCCAATTGATGGATTTATTGCCCCTATCCTTCACCAGATTAATAATTCACTGTGAAAAAACGGAATAAGAAAGAAAAACAAACTACCCATAACGGCAATTACCCGATAACGAAAACCCAAAATGGGAAGCTCATACACTGCCTTGAACGACGACGACGATTCCGCCACCGAATCCGACGACAACACCGCCACGAAGATCGACTCTGATTCCGACTCTGAAACCGAAACCGATGAGGAAATCCGTAACCGCTACGATACTGGCCCTTTCAGAGAAGGCGAAAGAGTCCTCGCTTACCATAGCAAATGCATTTACGAAGCCAAAGTAACAAAAAGGAATTTTTTTTTTCGTTTCTTTTCCCCTTTCAAAATTTAACTTTACTCATCGCTTTACTCGGCAGGTTTTAAATTGCGAAAAGCGGAGCAACGGTTGGCATTATTACGTTCATTATCGTGTAACTTTTCCATTTCATCTCTCAATTTTTTTTTTCACTTAAAGTTGATTGATTTTGGTTATTTATTTATTTGTTTGTTTGTTTTGCAGGGTTGGAATAAAAAGTAAGTGCAATTTCTTCCCTGTGAAATTATATATGTTTTTGTGAAAACATTAAATTGTGGGGGTTTTGTTTCGTGTTTACAGCTGGGATGAATGGGTAGGTGTGGATACGTTAATGAAATTTATAGATGAGAATCTGCAGAAACAGGAAGCGCTTAACAAGAAACTTAAGGAAGAAATGAAAGCTGAATTTCATTCTTCAAAGAGAGGAACCGTCCGTGTGTTTCACTCTAAACCGAGAAATCCCAGAGGTTAAAATGAAATGAACTATTTCATTACTCTTTTTCGGGGTTTATGAATTAAGATATGTTTTTCTTTGCAGCTGCAGGTGGTAGGGGCAAAAAGCGAAAGAACGATTCTATCAGCAAGGTATTCCTATGTGTCTCTATATGATTGCTTTGGCATGTTTTTATGCACTGCATATTAGTTCATTTGGCTTGCAAGTTAGTTAATTCATATTTGTTGTGAAAATACGTTAGTAGCAAAATAAGCTAAAGGCATCCTAGACAGATGCGTGAATAGCTAGAATTTTGAACTTTCATTGTGGGGATTTCATTTTCAACTTAGTCTGTTGATTGTCAACTGTTAGGAGAAGAGCGCTGTACCTTCTGAAAAGCTTGTGAACATTCAAATTCCACTAACTCTGAAGAAGCAGCTAGTTGATGATTCGGAATTTATTACGCATTTGGGAAAGGTTGGTAGATCCTAATGTTTTGGATTTGTATGCAGTATTCCTTTTGCTTCATTTTAAGGCTTTCTTTTCAATGTTAAATAAAACTTGATAATCAGAAGTTGATTGATATCTTCTGTTGCAGCTTGTTAAACTTCCACGTACTCCAAATGTGGAAGACATATTGAAGATGTATCTTGATTATAGATGTAAGAAAGATGGCATGTAAGTTCTTTCACTGCCCATTTTGTCATCTTTTTTACTTTGACTTGCAACATTTATGTTTTTACAGCTTCTAACTGTTTTATGACTTGTTGGTCCAAAAGATCTGCATTGCATTATTGGAATGCACCTTGACATACTGCTTCCGTAAAATGTGCAAGAAAAGCAATCTGAGCAGGATTAATCACGCAGAATTATTGGCATTTTTTCATGCCATATGGCATATACTAGGTCTGCTAGTTTTAAGCTTTTTGGCCTTGACTGGAAAAAAGATAACTGCAGAATTATCCACATGGAAGCTGGGACAAGGAGTTGAAATAGAAAATAAAAAGGTGGGATGGGGATTGGGATTTGGGAATATGAGCAACCTTCTGATTTTGAGCTCTTTAATTCTGCCTCTCAAAATTATTGCTTGAGTCTACCTTTTTGAGTTGTGAGTGAAATGCCACATATCTTCTATCATGATTGCTGCCTCTGAATTTTTATAAATAATTTCAGTATTGATTTCTATATTCTTAGCTCTGACATTTTTTTTCTAATAGTTAAAATGACAAAATAATACATGACATGTAGGGTAACAGATTCAGTTCGAGAAATTTTTAATGGGATACGTGCTTACTTCAACAAAGCATTGCCTGTGATGCTTTTGTACAAAAGTGAGCGTCAACAATATGAATATACCATTACAGAGGATATCCGTCCATCCACGGTATATGGGGCCGAACATCTACTGCGTCTCTTTGGTATGTTCATCCTTCACTGTTGGACAAAATTGACTAACTTGCACAGAGAAAATATCGTGCGCTTAATAGTACATGTAGGAAGGAATTGGACTTGCTAATTCAGACATCTTTCCTTACAACGACAACTCTGTAGTTTGAACTTAAGCTTGGAAAAGTTAAAAAGACAGTTCTTTCAGACTGGCATTTTTCAGATGATATTAGAGAATAAACTAAATAATTTCTCATATTTTGAGGATCTATGCATCTTTCGTTGATAATAAGGTTGAATATGTATACTGCTTAATATCTCCCACCATCTTTGGTTCCTTGCAAGCCAATTAACCATCAGTTGTAGTATATGTAGTGCTATAATTTTGTTTTTTGGGTGCTATAATGTATAATGTTACTCACACAGTTATCCACCTTTGATGAACTGTTCTGGGCTCATCTTGTCATTTGTTGCCGTGTCTAATTGTGGCATGCATGTGTGTTGCAATTATTGCTGCTTGTTCCTGATATTTTCAGTAAATGTTTTGATTGTAATGCTACTCTCAAGACTAAAGAATTTTGCCATGCAAGTGCTTTGTATCATGAAGTTTATTTTGCTAATTCAGTGTCTTGTATTTGCAGTCAAGTTGCCTGAGTTGTTGGTGCGGGCAGACATTGAAGAGGACACATTGTTGGAGTTGCAGCAGAAATTAGTTGCCTTTCTTAAGTGCGAACTCTACTATTTTCGGTTTTCCTGGTTATTTAACTCTTCGAAGAACTCACTTTTGGCCATCTGTCTTCTTAGTCTTCCCCCGCCCCCCCTTTTTTTTTTTGGTACAGTGGATAACTGGATATGCAGTATCAGGGGCTAGGACCCCAGCCATGCCAGAAGTCCATCCCTTAAAGGGGGTAGTCGAACCCTTGGGGCAAAGCCTCATGTTCCTTCCTTATTGAATAAGTGCTAAGAAATCTGTTATTTCAAGTTCCAAAGTCAATGATGTTAAGACGATAATTGATTGCAAATGTTGATGTTAGGTCTAATTTTCGGCAATCATTTATAGTTCTTTCTAGCTTTCTCTTTGATAATCTGTTATAGTTTACGTTGTTTGTTATTTTTGAACTAGAAGGTCAACTCCTATTTGGAAATTATCATTTCATTTACATTTTTAGGTTTTTCCCCCTAATTGTGCCCTATAAGGCACATCATCCTCTCATAACCTACTTGATACTTTATCTTCCTTTTGGGAAGATGACATTTTCTTATCATGAATCTCTGCTGATAGATCAAGATGTCTTCTCATTGCAGGTTCTTGCAGAAGAATCAAAATGCCTTATTTCTCTCTACGTATCATGTTGCAGAAGATGTTGAGACAAGCACCAATAAACAAGATAACTAAATCCAGACACATTTGTCAACCATTTGTACATACACCAAAGAATGACTGGTAGTTTCTTGTACCTTTCCTCAATGCTTTTCCATATGCTAGAAAAAACTTTGACATATGAGATGTTTGTATTGCCTTTCAGAACATATGCTGTATCTATAACTTTGTACGAGAATCTACTGTTAAAGCTGATATGCTTGTCCCTGTTGGTTGACTTGGAAGAATATGCTCCATCTGCTTCCTGTGTAAAGAATGTGGATGATGTTGGCTGTGTTAATTATCAATGAACCGTCTAACAACTATTGAAGCTAATTCCGCGTGTTTTTTATTGTTTAGTTTGCAGAATTGCAGTTAAAAGTGAAAACTAGAAAACATACTAATATTTTCATGTTATTATAACCTTGAAACAACTAAAAATGTAGTACTAGGAGATGTTTATGGGTAATAAATTACACTGAAGTCCTTCAGGTTTGAGTCTAATTCATCATAAGGACACTATGGTAATCTTGTTCCGAGTTATTCCGAAGGTACTATTTTATGGCAGAGCTTCGATTCTCCTACAGATACCCTTCTTCCTCTACAATCACCGGCCAGACACAACACCTGTCTCTGGAGGAAGAAAAGACAACTACTCCTCTGGTTTCTAAAATCCTTTTTTCCATGATGATAATGTTCTCTGTCTCCTTTTGATGATGGTCCTGAGATTTCAAGTGTTTATTGGTCTGGCAAGCAGGGAGGTCCGCATACAACCGTAGGATCCAAAATTTGTCTCAATGGTTGGAAGTGTTTATTTCTCTGTTTAATGTATAACCTGAGTAAATATCATCATCTTATATTTTATTTATCTATTTTATGTTTCCTCGCTTGAGGATGGCCTTTTTTTCCCATCTTAGCGAATCTAAAATTGTCAGGTGTTGGATCAATATAACTAACGAAGCAAACTCAGCAGCCTATGGGCTTCAGATAATGGGGTTTTTTTTCCCTTGTTTTTCTAAGGCTCAAATTCCCGTCCAAATCGATTTCTTCTGTATCGATGCCACGAGATAGAGGACTGCTGAAGGGTTTTTTTTTTTTTAAATATATTATATTGTTTATCTATATACCTCATGCGGCACCGTGCCCTTTTTTCCTTTTTTTTTTTTTAATGTTTGGTTTTTTATTTTATTTTTATTAATGCTTTTTTTTTTGTGTTTTTAACTTTTTTTTTTATTTTTAATTTTTTATTAGATAAATTTAATAAAAAAAAATCAATAAAGGTTGGAATGATGAAACAATCTTGATTAATTTTGATTCGCAACAATATGATATAGGTACATCTTATAAAAAAATCGACATTGGATTGAGATTTTTTTTTTCAAAAATAAGTCGGATTGGAGATAAATTTAAAGTATTTTATCCATATTAGATGTCTACATAACATTTTTATTTTATTTTATTTTTTTGAGTTTTATTTTTTTAATTTGTTTTCTTTTCTTTTTTTATTAAATAAATTTGTAATAAAAAAGTAAATTGAGATAAAAATAATAAAATAATTAATATCTAATGGGTTTTGATTCGCTCGATCTAATTGATGTGTTTTCTTTTAATTTAAAATAATTAGGTTGAGTTTTTTTAAAATTAAATTCGGATAAGAGTAAACTATTGACTCTTATACCTTGATCTCGGTATATATAAAAAATATTTTATTTATTTATTTAATTTTATATTTATATACGTATTTTATTAAAAATTTTATTTAATACTTTAATTTAATAAATTTATTTGACATTTTATTTTGTTTTATTTTGTCATTTTCTTCATTTTTTAAAATTTTATTTATTAGATAAATTTTATAAAAAAAAGTCAATGAATGTAAAAATGATAAAATAACTTATATCGATAAGTTTTGATCTATCATGTTCTAATTGATGCAGTCTTTTAAATAACGATAGGGTTAAATTTATATCTTTGAGCAAAATAGGTCAAGTTGATATTGGATTTAGGGTGCTCTGCCGTCTCTCCTCGAGAAATATAAAAGAATATATTTAATTATTTATTTAATTTACATTTATACATTATATTAATACTTTAATTTAATAAAAAATATATTTATATATAATTGAGTTATAATTTATATTAAAATATAAACACATTTATATTTATCTATATGGTGCCATCCATTAAAATTTAATATAAAAATTTTACTTTAGCGAAACATAAATTTAATTCTAGTTTATATAGAAATAGACATTAACCACCCAAAAATTATACATGTTTATTGCTACAATCATAAATTTATTCCAGTGAAATTCAAATAATAAATCAATAGATAATATTTTAGGATCAAATGCAGTGCTGCCATTCTTGAAATTTAAGTTTTTTTAAAAAATTTTTGGGTCAAATTATATATGCAAATTTTCGAAAGCGTGGGAATGATATTCGTAATTAAAGGTATTATTCTTTTGCACATTAAAAATTAATTATGAGGAAACTAAAGAGAAAAAAACAGAAAAAAGAAGACATATAAATTGAAGGTTATTAAGTTTACGTCTTTTCAAATCCTAAATATGAATTGGCATACAGTTTATTTTTTTAATGAACTTGGTCCTTCCTTCCTTTATTTATTATATTAACGAAATTAGAATCTAAAAATTTAAGTCAAGATCAAATTCAAGCAGTACTGAAATTTAACTCATTCTTTATCATTTTAAAAAATAATTAGTTTTGGTTATGGTCACAATTCTATACTCATAAATTTTAATCATTCTGTCTCTATACTTTTATATATTTTTAATATAATTATACTTACAATACAATTAGATAAACTCAATGAATAAATCAAATCATGTTAATCTTTTAAAGATTTTTAAGGATTTTTTTTATGATTTTACTTTAATAAGTGTTTAAACCTATTAGTTTGTATAATTTACTCATAAAATTATATTGAAATCTTACAATACTATAGTGGTAATTTTTATTTCTTTTGATTTTTATCACCCCACCATGTGCAAGTATGCATTCTTTTATTAAAGAATGTCTCATTCAATTATCAAAATATCATATTTACTTAATCAAGTTATCATTTCATTTATTTTTTTCATTAATTATTTTTTTTTAGTAGGAGGCCTCCAAATCTACCTTTAGTGAAAGATAACTAGCAAATATTATATATCTTAATTTTTTTTCATAAAAGTTTTAAAACTTTTATATTTTAACTTAATATAAGAGTTTATATCAATAAACAGATTTCAAATATAATCATACTTCTATAGTCTCATTTTAAGATTTTTATATCAATTCATAAATACTTATATGAATTTATTTCATTATGAACACTATTAATAATTTTTTTTTACTGTGAACAAAACCATTTCCATAACTCAAATGGATAAAATAACATTCCTTTTACTATTATAAAAGTTTTTATATTCACAATATCTTTGAATCACTTATAGCTTCTAAAGTGAATGTATTTTAAAATTTTCACTATATTTCAAAACTTTTTATAAAACTAGGGATGATAAATCATTTTGTACAATTTATGAATTAAACCATATATATAACAAAAAATTACCACAATATGATCAAGATTGTGGCATCAATTTTGGTTTATGGCTATTTTAAGCCAACCATAATAATCCACATTATACTTACAAATCATGTAGATTTGGCTATTGAAATTATCTCATTTATAGTAATGAAAACCAATTATCTCAAATGTTATCATGAGTTTCTAATATATATATTAATTGCCTAATGGCCAATTCCAAATTCATGACTATTGAAATCTCTAAACTTGATTTCAAATTTTTATGAGAACTTTATTTCTCTACCATTGTACAGTGCATATATCTCTGTTATTTACCATTTTTAATTGGTCATAACATTTTTGTATATATAATAAATTCAAACTTTACTCATATGACTAATATGCTTATGTACAATAAGAGTTTATAGTATATTTAACTCCAATTTTAAATACTTTCATAATCATTTTATGATCATTATGTTTATATTTAGATCACCATATTAATGCAAGTCATGAAATAAGAATTCAAAGAATCATTTTCATGTTTCATAAAATAGCATAAATAATAATTATAATATGAGTTCTATTCATATTTCATGTAAAAACTCGAGATGAATTTGCATTAATTAAATCATTGATTGGCTAACTCCAAGGCTTATGACTTTTACAAACCGATATTATTATCTAAGCCCATATGTTAATAAGGTGTATAACCAATCACATCCTTGCCATTATTATGAAACTATTGAAAACCTTGGAAAATTTGTGCACTTTTCATTTTAACAACCTGTAAAAGGTCATTTTTTTGGGTGTAAGAAGTAATAATATATTCACTGTTTTTTACAAATAATGTGTTAATTGGATGATAGCATTCTATCTCCATAGTCCATATCTTTTTTATATGTATAAAATTTTTTTTTTATCACATTCAATTCATTTTCGTAATATATGACAAATTGTACCAATATTCTCCATGTCATCACAAAATGAAACTAAACATATGCATGTATTGGTGCCTTTGGAACATTGAATTTGTATTTTTTTTCTAATTTATAAACATAGCTAATTAGACATTGATGAGTATCATTCAAAATGCTAGTAACTAATAAATGCTTTAATATTTTTAATCACATGCCTTTTCTTTTAATCAATATCCCATATATGAAAAGCAATAATGCTTTTGTGTAGCCAGTAATTAACTCTTTGACGGCTATTTATGATTTTTACTTTGTGATTATTCATAATAAAATTTTATTTTGTAAAATCATTTATGGTGTAATACACCAAGCAGACAAAATGCATGTCACGTTGCCCATGTTATTGATAATAACAATTATTTGGTTTATTATCCACCAATTAATCCATGAAACACCATATCTTAATAAAAATTATTCACATACATCAATTTAATTTTAATTGATTTTCATGAAAATTGAACACTAGTCAAAATTTAAACTAATAATAAATTAAAAAAAATATCACCATTTGATTTATAAATGACCAACAAAGATAGAACTACATAAATAACTTGACTCAACTTATTATTTCAATTTTGATGCCATGATTTAAAAATTAAACTAATCTTACAGTCAAATTTTATTTTCTGCATATATTCTCTACTTATATTTAATTTTTCATGGTAAATTCCTTTGCTCATTTCTAATTATTTTCACAGAAACCATGTGATAATTTGCATATTCTATATATAATCAGTACATGACAATTAAACAATCGACCATTTCATTAAAACTCAATTTAATTCATTACTTTATAATAAGTAATAAATTTTTTTATCGTAAATCAATTCATATTTTTTCTCCTTTATGTTTTCGAGCTATTTACCATCACAGTTTTTATAAGCATCAATTTTTTAAATAAATATAATACAATTCATTAAATTTAATTGTGAAGCTAAATTCGATATATGTATAAACCTATGCAATATAATCAATATTTTGTGTATTGTGTTTCGACTTTACACACTAATAAAATAATTGTTAACTCGTTTATCTCATTTAATCAATCTTTTTACCAACAATTATGCAAAAAATAAAATGTATACCTCTAATAAGGATTTTTATGAAAATTAACATTTTGGTCCATCGAAACATTAATCATGTGACACCTTGAGCCTCCTTTAATATTGATTTCCAAATAATGTTAATTTCTTTTCCTTGTATCTTTCTTATGTGAATATAAAATTTTCATAATTAACTTTAAATTGTTAGAAAAAATAAATAAGAGAAAGAAATAATAAAAAAGAATTTGAACTTTGAGGCATTAAAACACTTTCTTAAGGCAATTATGATTTTAGGATACAATAAAATTTTAAACTCTTCAATCAAAAATAATAAAAATTGTTATACTGAAAGATTTATTTATAATTAATGAAAACACATAAATTTTTATTCAAATAGTTATAACTTTTTGTATAATTATGACCTTTATGAATAATAATTTATTTATATTTAAATAGTTATAACTATTTGTCTAATAATAATTATTTCTGTTTAAATATAATTATTTAAAATATAAATAAAATTAATATAAAAAATTAATTTTGCTCATCAATGATTAAATTTTTTTAGTCGAGCTGCACCTTAATTTAATCTACCATAAGCTACATCAAAACTATTTTGGAGAATACGAAGCCAGTTGCATCAGCAAACAGAAGAAAACCTAGACCATTAGAAGGTTAAAAAAAAACATTAAAATCCTGCTCCTAGGAAGCTCCTATTTTTGCCAAGAAATCAGCACATGCATTTGCTTCCCCGTAAGTATGTACAAGCCGAGCTCTTCCGATTTGTTCCCGATAACTATGAACATTTTGTTTTCTTTATTTATTCATTAGATGATTTTCCTAAGAGTCAATGACTTAATTTCTACGAAATGAACAGTAAGTTAAGCTGTAATATGGTAATTTGGGAAATGGAAATTCAGGGTTGAAGTATTGGTAGAGGGTTATTTTCATTGGAATTCGATGACGCAAGTCAATCATGTCATCTATAATTTCTTGCTCGGAAACCCTTTTGGCGAATCAGATAGCAGAACCGATTTTTCGGTCAAACCACTTGCTACGATAACAAATTAAATTTAAACTGCTCTGTCTCTTGGTGATTAGCCAGTTTCCCGTTAGCCGCCTAGGAATTAAAGCTTTGCACTCTCTAGTCTCTCCGTTCACAATCATTCACATGAAACTTGTGCACAACCCTCTGCCATAATAGTTGCCAAGCCTTTACCTGTCTTCAATATATCTTCACAATATATTTCATGGCCACGCCATTGGTCCTACTCGTTTTGTCTTTGGCTTTATGTTGCCCACCATCATCTTCATCCTCTGATGGTCTATGGGCAGGCTTATCTTTGTCGGTGGATACTGCAGATGATGTCTTGACTTCACCTGATGGCACTTTCAGTGCTGGTTTCCACCCTGTTGGCCAGAATGCTTATTCCTTTGCGATATGGTTCAATAAACCATCCTGTGGTGCTAACAGTTGCACCATAGTTTGGATGGCAAATAGGGACCAACCAGTCAATGGTAGAGGCTCAAAGTTCTGTCTACTGAAATCAGGTAATCTTGTTTTAAAAGATGCTTCTCAAATTACTGTTTGGGAAACGAAAACCATGTCGCAGTCCCGTGCCCATTTGAAACTTGAAGATGGTGGTAATCTTGCATTGCGTAACTTGGAAGGCCTTATATTGTGGCAAAGCTACGATTCACCCACGGATACTCTGCTTCCTCTTCAACCATTCAATGAAAACTCAAAGCTCATCTCATCAAGAAGCCAAGGAAACTTCTCCACGGGCTATTTTCAGCTTTATTTTGACACTGATAATGTTCTCTGCCTTGTGTACGAAGGTCCTGAGGTTTCAAGCGTTTACTGGCCAAGTCCATGGCTTTTGAGATGGGAAGCTGGAAGGTCCGTGTTCAATAATAGCAAAATTGCAATTCTGGATTCTTTGGGAAAGTTTAGTTCAACGGATAATTTTACTTTCTTGTCAGCTGACTATGGCTCAAATATTTCAAGAATGTTGAAGATGGATTTTGATGGCAATATTCGACTGTATAGTCTAAAAGAGGATGTAGAAACTTGGGTTGTTTCATGGCAAGCCTTCCCTCGACCATGCATGGTTCATGGATGTTGTGGACCAAACAGCATATGCATTTATATTCCTAATTTTGGCAGGAAATGTTCTTGCATTCCAGGGTATAAGATGAAGAATCATACTGACTGGTCTCTTGGCTGTGAACCAGAATTTCATCTTTCTTGTAATCAAACTGAGGTTGGTTTCCTGAAACTCCGCCATGTTGAATTCTATGGCTATGATTTCAGATTGTATACTAATGTCACCTTAGAGGGTTGCGAGAAAATATGCTTGCAGTTGTGCGATTGCAAAGGTTTTCAATTCAGATTTATTAAAACCCATGAATCGAATGGTATATACTGTTATCCCAAGACTCAATTGTTGAATGGACATCGCCCACCAAATTTTAATGCTGATTTCTACGTGAAAGTGCCGAAGGCCACTATCTCCTTTTACAGTAACAGTGTTCAAGATTCCGAGTTACAATGTCCCAACAAAGTTCAGCCGCTGGAACGAAAATATTCCCAAAGGCATGAAAATGAATCATTGAAATTTGCCCTTTGGGCGGCCTGTGCAGTTGGAGGACTCGAGTTTCTTACCATTTTCTTGGTATGGTGTTTCTTGATTAGAACCCACGACAATTCAAGCCCAACCACAGGCTACCTTCTCGCTACAACTGGCTTCAGAAAATTCACCTATGCTGAGCTGAAAAAGGCGACAAATAGTTTCTCAGAAGAGATTGGAAGAGGTGCAGGTGGAATCGTATACAAAGCCACACTTTCCGATGGTCGAGTTGCAGCAATCAAGCGACTCATTGATGCTAACCAAGGGGAAGCTAAATTCCTAGCAGAAGTTAACACCATTGGAAAGCTTAATCACATGAACTTGATTGAGATGTGGGGTTACTGTGCTGAGAGAAAAAATAGGCTTCTGGTGTATGAGTACATGGAACATGGATCCTTAGCTGAAAACCTCTCCTTTAAAGCACTTGATTGGCAAAAGAGATATGAAATTGCTGTGGGAACCGCAAGAGGCCTAGCTTATTTACATGAAGAATGCTTGGAATGGGTTCTCCATTGTGATATAAAGCCTCAGAACATTCTCATAGACTCTAAATACCAACCAAAAGTGTCAGATTTTGGCCTGTCTTGGCTTCTAAATAGAGGCGATGTCAAGTATTCAAAAGTCTCAAGGATCCGAGGAACCAGAGGTTACATGGCGCCTGAATGGGTCTTCAATCTGCCCATCACCTCAAAAGTTGATGTCTACAGCTATGGGATCGTTCTATTGGAATTAGTGACAGGAAAAAGCCCTGGAATGGGAATCCATGTGACAGACGATGGAAGTACAAAAGAACAAAGAACGTTAGTTGCATGGATGAGAGAGCAGATGGAAAGAGCCAAAGAGACAGAAACATGGAAGCATGAGATAATAGATCCCAAGCTGCAAGGGATATATGATGTGGATGAGATGCTAATTCTGGTTACGGTAGCTCTGCGATGCGTTCAGGAAGATAAAGACGCAAGACCGACAATGGGTGAAGTAGTTCAGATGCTCCGTCATGAAAGCCATTGAACTACGGAGGAATCATCTCTTGCTAAACAAATGAGTCGGTATCAAATGATCTCTCTAATTAGGTTTACAAATACATTATATTATCGCCAATTATCAATTGCCAATACCGTCCCTGTTTTTTTTTTTTTTTGGGCACGTTACGGTGTAATATCAAATATTTAAGATTGATCTCATTTAGTATTTCTTATAATTAGGATCCTTCCTGTTAAGGAAACAAGTTTAGAACTCCGTTTTCTCTATTGCCATGGGCACTCTGAAAGAGGGCTTTCATGCCCCTAGCTATATGGCAATAACAGTGCTCTTGTGTATAACTACGTTTTTTTTTTTTTTTTTTTTTTTTTTTTATAGATTGCAAAGATTGGCTTTCATGCCCTCTACCTATGTAGCAATACCAGTTGTCTTGTGTTGTTTTCACTAGATTATTGAAGATTGAATTTTGATTGATTTAAAAATTTAATATTTTACCAATAAATTATCAATTGACGGTTATAATTGGTTATTGTATTCAACTGGTGTATATAATCAATCAATGAGTTTGTATTATAATTGAAGTTTATTTAGGTTAAGAAGGTATCCGTTGAACAAAACCAAAATGAAAATAAGTTTGTCCTTTTGAAAAGAAAATCACGTATTTTCTCCGAAAGTCATAAGCCAATAAGATGATCTTCTCTTAATATCAGCATAGATTTGCCAAGTCAAATTCCATTTTCTTGATAAAAGAAGGTGACATGTTTTAACCGGAATCATATGTATATCTTTGGTTGGTCAAAAAAAAAAAAAAGTTTTGATGTGAACATGCAATTATTGAGAACATATAAGTAAGGCAAACTTTAACATCAGAAATTGATAGCTGATGCCCCGCATTAACTCTAGATGTCTCATCGATGACTTTGGCTACTTATATTTCATTTTTTTTCTTTTGCCAAATCAAAATTTCAATTTGTAGGGGGATCCATTAATATCCAGTTTCTTTCAAGAACTAATTAATCTTCCTTTATTTTCTTTGAACATACTAATATATAGTTATAAATCAAAATAGGCTTGATTCTTGTTTATAAGTATTCCCTCATGGGAAGGGGGCGTCTAGTGCAGGAATTTCAGTAATATTTGTTTGAAAATTTTGGAGATATTTATTGGGCTTTGCTGATGGTGTTTTAAGGATTTTTTAAGATTAATTAATATTTTATTTATAATAGTAATCTTGTATTAAATGAAATAATAATATTATTATTTCATTATTTTTAATGCATTGAATAAAAATATTATTTTATAGGTCACATTATGTCAAAATTCCTATATTCTGTCAAAAATTGAATTTTAATCCTTATATTGTAATTTATATAATTTAATTTTTATATTATTTTAATTTGATAATTTTAATGCAATTATTAACTCTATCAATTCTTTACTGTTAAAAATATTAATATGGTTATTGACTTTATAACGTGAGTATTAACTTTGCTGACATAGCAATTTAAATGAATCAAATTAGTTTTTAAATTATATAAATGATTATTATATTTTCATGAAAATTTAAATTAAATCTTTGTACTTGTACAAAATTTAAAATTTAGTTCTTCTAATATAAAATTTAATATTTTAAAATTTTTTATAAAATTTCTAATATTTTAAAAATATTAAATTTATTTTTTAAATATTTTAATTCTATTTTTTGAAAGTTTTTGAATTTTTCAAAATTTAACATTTTTATTTAAACAAAATATTCAATTTTATTATTTTTTTGAATTTTTTTATAATATTTGTCATTAAATTTTTTTTTTTTTAGAAATCTAGATACTAGTTTATATTCTTAAAAAGAATATAAATTTTAAAATTTTTACATGTTTTTTATATTATTTAAGTGAATAATAAATTGAAATAAGAAAATCTTACGGTTTTGTTATTTTTTTATTTTAATCATATTTTTATACTTTTCCATTTCAAATATATCAAATAAAATAAATTCTAAAGATCAGCATCTTATTTATAATTTATTTATTTTTTATTTAAATATTAAAAAAATTAAAAATATAAAATCTTTCAAAAATAAAATTAAAAATTTTAAAATAATCAAAAAGTAATTTAATATTTTTTAAAGTTAGAAAATTTCTTAAATTTCAAAATATATTTATAATAGAGGGACTAAATTTTAAATTTTGTAATAGTGTAGGGACTAAATTTTAAATTTTATGTAAGTATAAAAATTATTTGCATAATTTAATAATTGATTTTATTTATTTAAGTTGCCACGTCAATAAGTCAACTCTAATGTCATCAAATCAACAAGCACGTCAGTATTTTTAACAGTAAAATATTAATGGAAACTAACGGAGTTAGTAAGTAGATTAAGAATATCAAATCAAAATAATATAAGAACTAATTTATATGAACTACAATACAAGGATTAAATTTCAAATTTCAGTAAAGTAAAGGGACTTACAACACTTACAACATAATTTCACCTATTTTATATAATAATCTTAAATAATACTTTTAGTCCATGTTTATTGCATAAGATGATAGAAACGATAATAATCATCTTATATTATATTTAGCTTATATCTAAAAAAAATAAATGTAAAAAAGATTGATTATCTTCTTGACATAGAATAATTTATTTTTTTAGAGAATTTTTTTAATTATTGGGATTAAACTTATATATCATGTTATATTCTTAAAAATTATATCAATAATTTAAATTGTATAAATTTTGAGAAAAAATAATTTTGACTAATAAATAAAATTATCATATATTAATTCTTACACATATCAAATATAAGATAAGATAATATCATTTTTTTTATTTAGCTGTAAATAACTCCTAGACTTCACCCAATACATCTTCTTTCTAAGTAGGTCTAAGCAGGCTTATTTACACCAAGTCTATTGAATTCATGGAAAATTATTTTTCCACATTCTCTCAACAAATTTGAAATTAGGCAACAATGAAATGAACATACTTTATTTGTCATTTAAGCCAACTATCCATTAGTTAGAATGATATTATTTAATTTAATTCTATTCGTAATATTATTTTATCTTATTCTATTATTTTTTTATATATCAAACATACATTTAAATTTTAATATAAAATCTATATTAATTATATAAAGAGATATTTCATTAAACTAATACTAATATATATTTTATTGGGCTGATTTGTTGAATTGGTTGAAACTAGAAAAAGACCTGATTTTGACATCAAGTTGTTGGATTAATTGATTTGTTGGAAGTTTGATTTCTAAATTTCTTTCAAATGTATATAGTACTTTAAATATTAACACCATTAGAAGATTCTTTTTAGCTGTTCAGATACCTATTGTTAGCTAAACAAAACTACATCAAAGGATAAATTAATAAGGTCAAAAATTGACAAGTTGAGCAGATCAAAAGTAGTTGAGGAATCATTCTTTGTTCCACTGCTTTTTATAACCTGTGACAACAATAAACATAGATTGTACCCAATCATCTATGGTTTTTCCATAGTCTTTAAGAGGGACTTTGGTTAAATCCAAATAAGTCTCGCCTTGTGAAACTGTTCGTTTGTTTAACGAATCGATAACAAAGGTTTCAATCTTAACCTGACTTGTTTGGCCAGATTCAGATGTTTGTTTTATCTTATCCTTGATTAGGTGAGAATATTTTTCTTTCAAATGAGGAAGATGTTGATCTATTATATTTGGATCTAGCAAATCTGAAAATCTTAAAGTATCATCAATGTATAAGTTAGATATTGCAGATGCTTTTCTTTTCCCACCCTCTTCTGGTTGAGGGATAGGAATTTGACTTGGTTTTGGATTTGGTTGATCTTCAGAACTATTAGTATCATCTAATGTGGTTTTATCTGATGAAATGGATTCATCCTTGACTACTGGGTTAGTAGCAAGAATCTCAAAATTATCAGCTACTAAATCATTATTTACTTTTTTACCACAGACATTGGTTGTGCCATAGTTAAGCATATAATGATAATTATACTTAATAAAGAGTCATTTATGTTCTTCATAAAGAGTCTTAATAGCTTGAAGATAATCAATCCGTTGTTACGGATCTGTAATTTTTTTCATTTTATACTTAAAATTTTTAATAATATATTTATAAGAGTCGAAATCAAGTTATTTTTGTTTCTCATTTGCTAAGGAAGATGAAGGTTTTTCATCATTCATCATAACATTACCATAATAAAGAGGTTCAAAGTCTTTAGATGTATCTGGGAGAACATATCTTTGATCTATCTTTTCTACAAGTAAATTTACTTTATCTTCTATATTATCTATTTTTACAAAAAGTTTATGAAAGAAAGAAAAAATTAAATCTATTAAATCATTTACAATTCTACTTATGCTAATATTACTAGATTCATACTTAGGATCTATATGTAAATCATGATTATAAGACTTAACTTTACAGATACATGAATTTTCTTCATAAGTTTCCATGTTTTTTATGCTTAAAATCGATGTGCTGTTTTGAAAATGCTAGCAAACAAGGTAACTCAAGCCATAAACGCCAGCAAACAACTCAGATATGCATGTATAAGCTTTGAAACAAAAACTTAAGAAGAAGATGCAAGTAAAAGGAAAAAAAATCTTACAAGATGAATCACAAGTAGACCTTTGTTGCTGAATCTGTAATACAAGCCTAGCAAACCTTTGTAAAAGCTTAAAGCTCTGATACCATTTATTGTCAATCTTACTTGCATCTCACAGGGTGGCCAACAAGAGTACCTCATAAGTTAGTTTTCGTTAAGCCTCTCGACCTAACAACCCTGCATGGTGGTCAACCATGGTCGGGACATGTCTAGACAATAACCAATACTTCGTCACAGATCATACTGTGAGAACCTTGGATCATGCACACCTGATTTTCATATTGACCTTCTCGTGAACTAGCTTTGATACCATTTACAGGGAGGTGTGAAAAGGATCTATGTATAAAAGTTTAGATAAGCTAACTTAATTTACAAAAGAGAATGGTAGAGAAGAGAGAGAGAGAGAAAGATAGAGGATAGTAGTAAGTAAAGAAAAAAAAAGTGAAAAGAAAAGGCTTCAAAGAATGTCTTCTACTAATTACAGAAGGGGTTTAAATAGAAAAATTTTAAATAGTAACTATGTACAGTTTTCACTATAGTGTATAGTAAAATTTTTATCTACAGTATTGCTACAGTGACTTGCTACAGTATCTTCGATAGTATGTCTCTGTCTTTTTTTGCTACAGTAACATTTTATCTGTCTGCTATAATGACTGCTATAATTGTTTCTTTTTGCTAGTCTTTGGAGTCGAGTGAACTTGTTG